ATAGATGGGTTTTGTTTTTAAATCCAGTCTAATAATCTATGACATTTGCTTGATGAGTTTAAGTCATTTACTTTCAGGGTTAATATGAATAGGAGGTGATTTGGTCCTGTCATTTTAGCAATGGGTTGTTCATTGTTTGATTTCGTCTTCTATTGTTATTTTACTGGGATGTTCTTCACATTTCCCTTTGGTTTTGGTGGGTGCTATTCATTTTCTCTTATAAGAGAATATCTTGAAGTGTCATTTGTAGGGCAGGTTTGGAAGAGGTGTATTCCTTTAGCTTTTCTTTACTATGGAAGAATTTTATCTCATTTTCAAAGGCAAAAGAAGGCTTTGATGGTTGAAATATGTTGCTCCATTCTCTTCTGGACTGTAGGGTTTCCTGTGAGAGATCAGCTATGAGTCTTATATGTCAATTCATTTTTTTCACAAGCACATTTCAGGATCTTTTCCTTATGCACAACTGAAGACCTTCATTATGTGTTGTTGTGAATATCACTTTTGGTCAATCCCAATGGGAGTTCTGTGCCCCTCCTGGATGTTGTTTCCCAATTCTTTCTCTGGGTTAGGCAAGTTTTCCTTTATTAATTCATTTAATATATTTTTTAACCCAACTTCTCTTTCTGTGCTCCATGGAACTCCCATAACTCTTACATTTGGCATTTTAGTAGTCTCTCTTAATTTTTGAATACTTTATGTAACTTGACCCAGCTCTGCTTCCAGCTTTTTGATAGTTTCCCCATTGTGACAAGAAAAATATCTTGTCACAGTTCTGACACTTTCTTCTGCCATGTTCATTCTATTATTGAATTTTTCCTCTGAAGTTTTAATTTGCTCTGTTGCATTCTTCATTTCCAGTAATTCTGCTTGATTGTGTTTCAGTGTTATTTCCTGTGTGACATATTCCTTAAATTCCTTGAACTACCTTTATGTGCTTCTTGTTGTTGATAACAAGCTATATAACGAGTTTTCTGAATTCTGTACTTGTCATTTTCTTGTTGTCTCCCTCATTTAGCTCTGCAGTTGACCAAGACTTTTGTCTTTTATAGGGTAGTCTTCAGTAATATTCATTGTGCCTCTGTTTCTTTTGCTCATGGTCATTGTACTTCTGGTTCCCAGGCTCTTCTCCTTGAGGCAGGTTTCCAAACTCTGTCACCCAGCAGTCTCAATTTGATTTTACTTATTATAGTTGGTACCCTCAGCTCTTTGTTTGTGACCACTTGTGCCACTCCAGCCAGCCAGTTCCAGATCTGGGCTCCTATGTTAGACTTCCACCAAGGTCCCCATAGCCCCAGCTCTTGGCTCACCAATCTCTACCTCCTGTGATGCCGTGCTGGGGCTGCACCGCTGTCTTACAATCTTTCTCCCACTTCCTGTTCGAGCAGTTCCCAGGATTAGGGAGACACCAGATGTCCTAAATAGCTAGGTTGTTGGTGGTGCTGATCTTGCCAGAACATTCTGGCTGTTAGGTCTGAGGGACATTTGGACATATTTTGACCTATAGGATGCCAGAGTCAGTATTATTTTCCTTGTGGTATCAGTGTAATATCCTGCGCTGTAAGTAACTTTGCTCTCAGCTAAGCACATGTTCAGCTCACTGTTGTCCCTCCGGTATAAAGCCTTTGCTACACTATATAAAATGGTGCCCGATGTGCACTGCAACACTACCATGTTGTCTCCACTGTCTTCCCATGTGTGCCCCTCTGCTGCTGGCCTGTCTGCTCTTTCCTGAAATGTGCCCTCTCTGCTTCACCTTGCCTCTGTTTAAATGTGTCCTTACCCTATTCCAACATCTTGATTCCTTCAAAAAATAAAAACAAATTTTAAAAAAATATCCTGGCCTGATCTTCACTGTGAAGGCAGGAGCATGGCTGTTTGGCCTGGGGGTGAGCCAGGGGTCCCACCTTGCTGTGCCTGGGTTCCAGTTCTGGCTTCTGATCCAGCTCCATGCTAATGCAAACTCTCTGAGAAAGTAGTAATGTCTTAAGTTGCTGGGTCCCTGCCACCCATTTGGAGAAGTGGATTGGCATCCTGGATCCTAGCTTCGGCTCAGCCCAGCTGTGATTATTGTGAGCATTTGGGGAGTGAACCAAGATTGGGGATGTCTTTCTGTCTTCTATGTCTGCCTGTCAAAAAAGAAAATGAAGAAGGTGTTTAAGAGCCAGATGTTACTGGGCATTCAGGGAACACTAACAGAGAAGAGGGCGTTGATTGGTGGGTTCCTTTGGGATAAGCAGTGTGCTGAACATGATGGAATAAAGGAAGGATAAAACATGCTATTGGAGATCAAGAGACTTCCAAGTAATTGGGAAGATAAAAATGGCCAAAAGAAGCATGTTAAAATTCAGTGCTAGATTGTAAACCATGTGTTACCATTTATAGTAACTGGAGCCTTGCGTGCTGGTCCAAGGTGGTATCTGTTCCAGGGAGCTTTGGTCCTGTTGGATACAGAGGCAGAGGCAAATATTGTCCTGATTGCTGCAGTAAGAGCAGCGCTGGGGCTGGGATTGTGTGTTATGAATAGCCCTTGATAGAGCACGATTGCTTGCGCTAGACAATGATGAAGGGTTGTGTATCCAAATATGTTTGCTGTCTTCACAAATGAATTAGTGAAGGGAGAGATGGCTGGAGAGACCAGACTTCAACTTGTAAGTGAAAGCTGCAAACATGGACTGCTGTACCTGCTTCCTCTTGCCTTCTGACTTTCATTGTAGGGGGCTCCAAACCATGCCTCCATTAACATCTGAGGGTCTCCCATGTGGAAAGATTGCCAGGTGGCCCCTTGAACCAAGAGAAAGAGCCTCGGTCTGTGCAGCATACAGAAGCATGGCTGCATGTAAAGATACTGAGTCATATTTTCAGCACCATTAGTGATCCAAGAGTTCAGAAGAAAATGGGGTTTTATTAATATCAGCCAATAATTAAGGAAGAGCACAGCAAACAGTGATTCATCTAGTAAGAAAATACCTCAACCTGTGGAATTTGAACTTCCTTTATTTACCCATTCATTCAGTACACATGCATGAAGAGCCAACTTGAGGCCCAGCACTATACCAAGTTTGTGGCTACTGAGAGTAACACATAGTCTCAGCACTTGAGAGGGTTGGGTGCCTTGGTGGTGAGAGAAGGGAAAAAGATGTCTACCATTATTTCTGTACTCATAGCTTATCAAAAACTGCTGCCCCCAGGATTTACCTGTCTTGCTCATTTATTGTTACTATTTTAAAAAGATTTATTTATTTGAAGAGCTTAGGGAGAGAGATGGAAAAATAGAGAAAAAACTTCTGTCTAGAGATTTACTACTCAAATTGCCACAATGGCCAGTGTTGGGCCAGGCTGGATCCAGGGGCCTGGAACTCTATCTAGGTTGTTCATATGGATGGTAGGGTCCTAAGTACTTTGGCCATCTTTTGATGCTTTCTCAAATCTCAGCAAGGAACTAGATCTTTAGGAAAGTAAAAAATAAATAAATAAGAAAACCAAAGGAGATGATATTAGATAATGATATTGATCCAGAATGACCAATAACTGAGTGATTGTTTCATAAGCTAAAGGAGGTGGGAGGGAAACAAACAATAAGAGCTAAGATATAAGAAAATTTTACAGGCTTTTAGAATAAAAGAACAACTGAAAGGAAAGACTTGACCAAGAAGCATCATTTTGAAATTTCAGACCTCCAGATATAACACAATGTTCACATGAAAATGACAGGGAATTAAAATCACATTGAACTTGTAAATGGAAACATTGAAAGCTGGAAGATAATGATTCCATTACTTTAAATACAGATGGGAATTATGTTAAAACTAGAATTCAATTCTTAGCCAAACTGCCAAACAAATTCAAGAGTAGAATAAAGATACTTTCAGGCAGGAAAATTCCCAGTAAATTTACCTCACATGCACTCTTTCTCAGGAAGGGTGTGCCACTGAAATGTGGGAATGAAACGACAAAGAGGAAAACATGGGAACCAGGTAGGCTAGTCTCCAACATAAGAAGGAGGTAAAGAGGGTCACTAGGATGATGACCAAGGGATGTGCCTGAATATTGATTCAGCCAAATTTGGGAGCAAGGGGAAACAGTATTGAGGGCTGGGAAACTTAAAGCCTCAGCCTTAGTCACTATGACAGTCTAGTAGAACATGTGCATTGTTTAAAAATCTTAGGACATTAGTGATATCATAGCCCAGTGGAAAAACCAATAACACATTGGGAAGAAAAAAAAACACCCACAAAGAGAGTGATAAATTTATATGTTATACAGTAGTGTGTGGAAATTCGGAGAGACTGTTAGAAATTGTGGCAGGACTTAAAGACAGTTGCATACAAAACTAGGGTGGTGAAAAAGCAAGGCAATTGTTAACTCCAAGAAAAACAAAAAGTTGTACAAGAAAGGAAAAGTAATTATAGTGTAGCGTTAGTTCAGTGGAGAACATTATTTATATAGCTATAATAATATAAACCCGGAATATTGATTTAGTCAAAACTGGGAGCAAGAGGAAACAGTATTGAGAGCTAGGAGACTTAAAGGCTCACCCACAGTTGCTAAACCATAGTCTAGTGGGACACGTGCTTTACTTTATTTTTTTATTTTTTATTTTTTTGGACATGTGCATTATTTAAAACTATGGAAGTTAATCCCAGAAGAAAATTAAAATTAATTAAGAAGTAGTTTCCTCCAGAAATATTTCCAGTGATGAAGAAAGAGGACCCAAACATTGTGATTTTTTTCCCGTTTGTTAAAACCTTTTAGTAACATTGCTTTTTTAAAATGTGTGTGTTCATTTTAATAAATTTGCACCTATTTTTAAAAATATTAAGTTGCCATAACTTTGATTACTAGACTAGTAAGATGACATGTTCTACAAATTAGATCCATTTCTGCCCCTCATTAGTCCACCATGTAGACAACAAATCTGGGAAAGCCATTTTCTAATGTAACGAAATACAGAGTTTAGAAGCAGCATGAATGTGTTTCCCCTGTTTTTCCTCTTCAGTTTATAGAAATACTTAAAATGAAGATGCAACATGAACAGATAGCTACTGATGTCCTTCCAAAATGTTTAATGGATTAATTACGTTACTACAATCTGACTGGATATTTGAACATGGTAGCCACTTGCACCCTGAAGTACTGTATCTTTATTAGAGGGTAAGTTCAAACAGACACAGCACTGGGGGTCACTGAAGTTGGAGCCAAGGTCTTTGCATAAATGACACGTGCAGTTCTGAAGGATGGGAGACAGTTCTATCCCCCGAAGCACAGAGCACAGTGAGCAGACAGGAGAGTTGTAGGTCAAATCCAGAGTCGGAATGGCCCTGGGGGTTCTCAGAAACTTGCAAGGTTTGGAGAAATAAGATGTTCAAGAGTCTGAGGATGTAACCTGCTAATTCATCCCTAAACTGCAATCTTTCGGATCACAGCTGAAATCCCTGGTAGACTAATAAAGACTTTTTGCCTAAAGCAGCGTCAGCCCCGACCAGGCAATAGCTAGCTGCCTCACAACAATAATAACGTGTTAATGACTTTGATAAGAGAGGATACATATCATTATCACGTCTTAATTACCTTTTGGGTAATGGGAAAGCAGCTGTAGAATACACAAATCAAGAAGCTGGGGGAGGAAGTTTGCTTTAAAGTGGTCCCTGTGATTGTTAATTTTGTATTTTCCTTGCCTCCCTTCCTCAGTCTTTCTTCTTTTTTAACGGTTGCCTGCCATTCATTAAGCAAAGTAAAGTGGTGGATTCAGTTTCAATTGCAAACATGGGGTTTCACTCTAGGAACAAGCTTACAGTTGGCACCCGTTGTTGATTTCCCTAGTGTCTTCACAGCTCTGCTCCTGTACCTTGCAAGCCAAGATTGGGGAGATGTGTTGTAGGGATAAGATTCCTTAGGAAAGCAAAGTCCAGTTTTTCTCTTCCATGGCGCCCAGCACAGTGTATGACATGAGTCAGCCAAGCAATCAATCTTAACTGAGTCTACTCCAGATGTTATAGACATTATGCAGGTCTCACTCTTTTGATTTGTAGACTGCCTTTGAGAGTCCTGATATTTCACAGTAAATATGGTCGAAGCTGGACCATCTCTGCTTGCTCCACACCATAGTCACCCGAATACCTTCTGTAAACTACTTCTGTTTACCATTCCAGGGAAGGGCAGGAATGGCTGTAGTTCTAACCAAGATTGTCCTTATGCTTTCTACCTGTGGGATGGGGAACCCCCCAAAATGTCAATCCTGAGGTATCCTGTCCTTCAAAAGTCTGCCCAGTGGCCGAACCAATGACTGTGCAGCCATCCAATATCCTCTCTCTCCCCTCACCAAAGTCTGTCCCAGACTTCGCAGATTTGGAGGTTACACGAACACTATTCCCAGGATCACTTCAGGATTCCTCTGAGTGAAGAATTCTAGTCCTTGATGGGATTCTTGTTAGGTATAAAATTCCCTATTCATCTTTCGCTGTTATCAGTTATAATAGTTAATGATCCTGAGACATTTCTCTATCGGTTGGCAAAACAATTGTCAATATTCTGCCAAGAGACAGGGGATGGGGGCAGGAAAGCTGAGAGAGAGCCAAAGAGAGAGGGTGGGCAGGAGGGAAGCAGTTAGGTGGGGGGTGGGGGGCGGGAAGAGGAAAGAAGAAAGTAGGTTGGGAATAAAGTCAACTGGAAAACAGTGAAATGCTGATTCTTAAAACAGTGAAATGCTGATTCTTAAGCTTTCGACTTTTTTTTTTTAACTAATTTTGTCCTAATTTGTGTTTTAGGCCTGTAGCAGAAGTGAAAACATGGCTGATGCATTTTATATTCATGAACCCAGGGCAATCTAAATCCAAGATTACCCTTCAGATCTGAAGTTAACATAAACCCTCAAATGATGAGTGGGCAGCTGAGAGGACCACAAATTCTGCTCTTTGGGTGAGTTCAAAATAAATAAGAAGAATTATTATCTAGATTAAGAGCCCTGCTGATTTTTCTACCGGTTTCTGTATCATTACTTTCTTTCTTTCTTTCTTTCTTTTTTTTTTGAAAGTTAAACAGATCATTTGAATTTTGTTGAAAAAAAAAAAAGTAATAGTGCAGGCAAATGCAGCTCCCTTGGCCCAAAGCCCTTTGCTCTCACCTCTTGGTGGTCGCTGCTGCCAGTTCAGCGTCTGGGGCTGAGCAAGAGGCCCGTCAGAACCAGTCAAAGAACAAGTCCCAGACAGAAGAGGAAATGAGAGAGAGAGAGAGGCCGTGCAGCCCTCTCTTGGCCACCCAACTCCCCTTCCTCCCTCCCCAAGCCTTGTTCAAACCCACCCACAGCCACTCTGCTGTGTTCTAGAATCCAGACCCCTTGGTAGCCTGGGGCAGACATTTTGCTACAATAAGAAGTTCTTGCTCTAGAGGGTGGTGTTTGGGAATAACCCCCAGCTGACTTTGATCATCTCCTGAGTCTTCCTCTTCCCTGTTTGAACTTGAAGATGAAGGAAGGGCGTGAAAACTCTATACTGAGCTGCCTTTGCTGTCAGCATCACAGACAGGAGGCATCTACAAGGTCAGGAGGAGGGGGAATTTTCCGGAAGTCAAGCCACCCAAACTGCAAGTCTGATACCAGAGCAGTGGGGGCAGAAGAGATACTGGTTCACTTCCCAAAAAGGCCACAACAGCTGAAGCAGGGACGGTCCAGGTATCCGGTATGCGTGCAGGGACTCAAGGACCTAAACCATTCTGTACTGCTTTTCCAGAGCATAGGCAGTGAGTTCAATCAGAAGAGGAGAAACCAAGACACAAAGCAGCACCCATGAGTGATACTTGCGCCACAGAGAAAGGCTTAGTCTGATATGCCACAGCACCAGCCCCACACAGAACTCTTAAGCTTCCATCTTCTTATGACACCTTGAAACTTTGACCCTAAGCTGGGGATCCTGGGTCACCATGAAAGAGCTTCAGAGACTGTCACGTCCTTCACGGGACACCTGGAAAGCAGGTGGGAGGGGCAGGATGCCATGGCGCCAGTGTGCAAAGTTAAAACCCTATCGCTTTCTGAGCAAATCTGTTTACATATGGTTAGAGCCTATGATATTAATATTATACTACGCCAAACTTTGGGTACATACTCGAAATAACAAGCTTTTGTGTGCTAGTCCCAGGGCATAAACACACTATGCAAAAACATTGTTTGAATTAGAAAAAGGGGTTCCAAAGTCCCAAGGAATATTCTTAGCAACGAACTGTTTGGGCACAACTGGTATATAATTTGCAAACTTCCTGTGTGATTTTTTAAGTCAGCTTTGGTCATTTGTGCCCTGAGAAGATGGAGATCCTACCATTCAGCCAACACTGGTGTGCCTTCGTACTGAGCTGCTCTGCCCTCACAAGTCCCGGAAACAGATGCTCAGTGGCATTGGGTGCTTTCCTCTCTCTTTCTCTCTGCAATCCCAAACCATCCCCTGGTACTGTTCTCTTTACATGGCGCTGTGTTTGTGGATTCATCTTTCCCAAGAGACTGAACTAGGTTTTGGTTACCTTTTTGTCCCAAGATGAACAGAGTTCAGGCTCCAGTAGGTGCTGTAGAATGTTTGTTGACTGAAATAAATGACTAAAAGTTATGAGTGCACACATAATGAGTTCTGAATAAATATAGTAGGGTGGGAAGGGAAGAAGGGGAAAAGTGGGAAGCAAAAAGGAAGGAGGGAAGGAAGCGAACAAAAAGGGACCAAGTCTGTGGGTACCTGTTGAATATAGCAGTGTTTATTTCCTGGATTAAAACACCCCGACTCTAAGATTCCATGAATTATTGAACAGCTGTTATGAGCTTAGCACAGGAGGAAAGGAAAGTGGGGGGTGAGCAAATAGTATTGATCACGGAAGTCATTCTTACCATGAATTTATATAGGAGACTAAAATTAACACATGAGGCAATCAAAGGACATTACGTTCTAATGAGACTCTAAACTACTGAATACAGACAGAATTGTGAAAGCAGAAACCAGCAGTCCATATGAGCTGGAGGAATATTGAGTGGAGTCTATGAGTTTGGGAACTTAGGAGCCCTTGAATGTGACAGGGAGGAGGGAGGAGCTCAGTGGGTACCGAAGAAGGGATGCCACCAGGTGGGCATCAGTGAGACCAGTGTGGTTATAGAGGGACAGGATAAGGTGGGACCAAATTACATGTGGCCTTGGGAGTCAGCGTAAGGTGTTCACATGTGACATGGGAGCAAAGAGATGCAGCCTCAGAGGTGTTTGGGCAGGATTCGGTGACATGCTTGGCTAGAACTGTCCTGTGGCTGATGAGCTCCTGAGAACGTGGTGGATGAAAGTGATAGAGGCAGCACCAAGATGCTCATTCTGCTTCCCAGGTGCTGATGAATCTGGGCCAAGAAGTATCACTGTTTCCCCAAGTTCCGGGACTTCGCAAATGTTGCAGGGAAAGGGGTGGGAGATGGGAATAAGGAGCTTGCCATGAGAGCATTGCCAGGCAGTACTTTGTGAGGGGCATTGAGTGTCAGACTCAATCGGAGATGCTGCCCACAGGTGTGTCACTTCTCATGCCAGGTAAGACATCAGTCAGAGCAGTCGGGGTGCTTTCCTCTTTTGCAAAACACCCCAACCTTTCTGTACCCTGGAGATTTTCTGATAGTCATAGCAGTGTTTTGCCTCTATCTTTGAAAATATACCCAACATGCTTCATAGAGTACACAGTAATGACCACCAGTGAAAGCAAAAGGTGCCACAATCTTTGAGCTAGCATTATATCGTCCTGATTATCACAGAAATAACTGCTTGGAGTGATTGTGCTATTTATAAATATTGGAGCTTTCATAAAATGAAAACATGTCATAAAATAAATATCTTTTAAATTATATGCAAATGACTCATTTTGAATAAAAGAAATGTTAATTAAGATTATATATGCAAATTAATTCTTATCAGCCATGTTTTCATACTTAGCTATTAACCACAACTTTGTTTTATAACTCATTGTAATTGGCTCTTCATTTAGAAAATATTAACGAAAGAATGCTTTATATTTTTATGCATTAAAGATTGAATGTTATCATTCAAGTAAAAAAAAGGAAATACACTTGACAATTTACTATGAAACAATAAGGAACAATTTTATGGAATGAGTTTTATGTTAATTTGAGAATTGAGACTAGAGAAATTATGTGCATGTATGCTTCTAGTATGGGAAGTGCATTCAGAAAGTTAGTGGAAGTGTGTAATATGAAACTAAATATGTTTTTAAAACATGTTTTGCACCAAGATAAAATTAGCGGCAGCTCCACTTTCCATAAGCTTTCTGAAGAACCTTGTCTTTCTGTGGTCCCCCCTTGTTTCTCCATCAGACTGAGTTTTCAGATTCTTTTTATTGTATTTAATTTTGATGATGTTTATGTAGTTGATCAGGGTGGGAAGGGTCAAGGGTTAGGGGAAAGTGAGTGAGACCATTGTTTCCAAATTTTCTTTTTCTCCCTCCAGTATCTGGGGGAAGGGGAGAGATAAGGGGAGAAGCCACACCCAACCTCCCAACTGTCTTAGTAGCCAGGGATGACCACCCAATAGTATCCCAGGGTCACCAGTGAGGAGCTCAGAGTTTTGACATATGAGTTTGGAGAGGATCTGGACGTGCAGTCCATCCCAGTCTCCTAGACCCATGCTGTCCAGCAAAATAGTTACTGGCTACGTGTGGCTACCAAATCCTTCAGTGAGGCTTGTGTCGAGTGACACTGGTGAGTACAAAACACACACCCTCTTTTGAAGACATAAGATGCATAATACACTAGAAAATACATCATCCTTAATTTGCTGGCTTTACCTTCAGACCAGAGATGGTCTCACCAAGAAATTGTTGAACCCACTAGGATAATAAGACGCTGGACTTTATGCTTGGTAAATAGTTCCAATGAAAGAACCTCAACTGAATTTGAACTGTGGTAACGCAGCAAGGTGGAGAAATCCACCATGGGGAGAAGGTTCGGGGAGGGGTGGGGGGATTCCCAGTGCCCATAACACTGTGTCACATAATACAATGCAATTAATAAAAATAAATAAATAAATAAATAAAAGAAAATACATCATCCTTAGTTTTTACACTGTTGACATGTCAGATGATAGATAGTATCTGGAATATATTGGGTCAAATGAGACTATTATTACATTTTATTTTGCCAATTTCTTCTGTTACATAATGCAGCCACTGGAAAATGTGAAATGACATTTGTGTCTGACACTCATACCTGGATGATACAATCTTGTGCCCCCACCCACCAAAAAAAGTTTGAGGCAGCAGAAGACCACAGATACGCCTGTCATCCTATGAGACAGTGGCTGAGCTAAAAAGCTTCTGTCACCTCATGACATCACAGCCATTAGCATGGCCTAGCATAGAGCATCACTCACCTTCTTTTGTAAGGCTGACACCAACACAAGTGTGCCGCTGGTTGTGCGGTACATTAAAGTACAGCAGTGCAATTGCATAGCACATGAGAGAGACTTACATCTTTACTGTCTACACTTGATACAGTGATTTTTGAGTAGACTCCTTCTTACTTCTGTATTAAAAAGTTTACTGTCAAACGGTGCACATGACACCAGCCCGAGCCTCACAACATCTCTTGAGTGTGTCAAGTGCTCACATTGAACAGTGGATCTGCACCATCCAGGTTAGAACAGGTGCAGTGGCGGCTGTTTCCAAAATTTCCTCCCTCCCCATTGTCATTGTCTCCTGTGTTTGAGTAGTCACAAAAATATTCACAACAGATCTCAGTAAGACCTCTCTTCACAGCCTCACTGTTTATCATTGAAACTGATCAGTGCTTTCCATCGTAAAGATTTGGAACTCAATATGAGCAAACTAGGCAAGGGACTCATCTTATGGGAGCTTGTTTCTGCCAGAGGGGCTGGAATTGTGATGTGCTGAGACCAGCTGCC